AAACACACGCGACGAGACTCAAGAAAATCAACTCGGCTAAGGATAAAGCGGAATCACTGCTCAAACAAATGATCCAAGCGGTTGAGTTTACTCAAAATCTGGTAGAGAGAAGCTTAAACTTAGATATCATGCAAAACAGGGAAACTCTCAAACACAGATTTCAGGAGCTTCGTGACATTAAGGTGCCAAAACACCACGAGACCTCATTCATCAAATTTACCGCGGCTTCTGTGGAGGGCTTGAGACTGGGCTATATCGGAACCGAGGTAATTGATGTGAGTCAATGCACTGTGGAAGGACTGGATCAAATTCTTCAGGCTGGTGTAGCAGCAGAATTAATATTATGCCCAAGAACACCTGAGGGAGATATAAGTAACCTGTCTGATCCTAAAAATCAAATTGAAGTTCTCATTGAACCTACTACAGACGTCACAAATGTGATCGTTAGCGAGAAAGGAAACGGTAAATTAAAGGTGAATTTTACACCAAAAGTGCCGGGCGCCTACAACATTGAAGTGAAGATCAACAACGATAAGCTTCCGAATTGCCCTTTTACTATGCATATAAAAGAACGTGAACTTGTTGTCGTCGGTGAGTTGACCTTGAAGTTATTTAAAGGAGATGAGCTTCACAGTCTACATGGAATTGATGTAAATACAGCAGGGAACATTGCCGTAACAGATTGGACTGGAAACTGTGTTTATATATTCGATAAAGAAGGCAACTGTTTAAGAAGAATTGGCAGCGAAGGAGGAAATGCCGTACGATTTCACCAGCCACGCGGCGTTACATATTTAAACGATAACGAGATTCTGGTCGCAGATCAAAGGAATCATAGAATACAACAAGTAGATGTCCAGACAGGAACTGTTGTAAAAACCTTTGGAAAATGTGGTGGAGCAAAGGGAGAGTTTTCGAGCCCGGTTGATGTTTGCCTGGATGAACAACAACGCATTGTTGTAACCGAGCTCGGCAATCATAGGATACAGGTCATGACACAAGAGGGTGAGACTATTACCATGTTTGGAGACAGCGGCCCAGAGAAACTCAAATGTCCAACAAGCTGCATTNGAGGAAATGCCAGACAATTTGACAACCCATGCGGCGTTACATATTTAAATGATAACGAGATTCTGGTTGCCGATCAAGCGAATCATAGAATACAACAAGTAGATGTCCAGACAGGAACTGTTGTAAAAACCTTTGGAAAATATGGTAAAGCAAAGGGAAAGTTTTCCGACCCGGCTGATGTGCGCCTGGATGATCAACACCGCATTGTTGTAACCGAGTTCAGCAATCATAGGATACAGGTCATGACACAAGAGGGTGAGACTATTACCATGTTTGGAGACAGCGGCCCAGAGAAACTCAAACAACCAACAAGCTGCATTCCTTACAAAAACATGTTTCTTGTAGCTGATGCAGGCAATAACTGTATTAAAGTTTTCAATCAGTCAGGAACTTTCTTGTACAAGTTTGGAAAACAAGGCAATCAAGATGGACAATTTAACTGGCCGCATGATATGCTTCTACTCAGCTCCAATAATCTTCTTGTATGTGATATTAACAATCGCCGAGTTCAGCAGTTTTCTTTAGACGGTCGCTTCACAGGCAAAACTATCACTGATTTACCACGTCCTATCGGAATAGCAACAGCGCCAGATGAACGTATTCTCGTGGCTAGCGCCATAACTAA